AATAACAATTAAAACTTGCATACAGTAGGGGCACGACATAAAATCTGCAATTGCCGCCCAGCAGTGAAACAAAAAAAGGAACCGGAAGCGTTTTTAACATTTTGGAGATGCTTAAAGAACAAACTGTTAACAAAAATATTTTTGTAATAAATGAAAAGGAAACGAAAAATCACGATTAATTTATAATCCAAATTTCACTTCGTTGCTACAGTTACCGTACATTAATTACCCAACTGAATAATTAGGAATAAATTCCTTAAATAAACAATGTGGGTTGAATAAAATTAAAATCTCTAATTAAAAAGTAATTTGCATAAAAATAATTTTCTGTATTAACTGCAACTTATTAGTGCGTTCTGAAAAAGAAACAAACATCTGAACTGAGGAAGCTGTATCTAAATCTCCTAACTATTCGTGATAGTTATCTATAAATAAACCCCTGATTTTCATATTACTCAATATTATTAATTATTAGGTAAATTGTTTCTCTCTTTCATTACCAGATAAATATATTTCAGTGAGATACTAAGAGAAATAGCCCTGATAGTCGGACCCCTACTAGCCCGAGCCTAAATGAAGAACTGCAAGGGACAGTTTCCATTTGAACCGTACATCAATGTTAGCTGGCCTAAACTGGCTAGAGAGTTCAACGTTTAGAGACAAAAAAATCACAATTTCAAATATTCATTGTGCAATGAGAAATTATGGTATATAAATGAACGTAAGATCATTTGAACACATCTAATGAACTTTCGTGCATCAATGATGTATTTATAAAATTAATTTTATTTCGGCTTTGATATTGAGAGTAGCCTTTATTTGGATAACAGGAAGCGAAAATCTCTAATTCAAAAATGAAAAAAATTATCCTTCTTATTTGCCACATTTAATTTACTTTCAATAGAAATAAAATTAAATTTTTATATTCATGTATTGACCTCCAGGGCTTACAACCTTGCGGGATAAAACTGGGATTCAGATAAAATACTAACTCCCCTTCCAGGAAAGTACTTGCACATGCTGAAATAGGATACACGCGTGGTCCGAGTTGGCAATTGGCAAAAAAAATCATTTATGTCAACGGTTATTTTCCTTCCTGCGTACAGCCGACGCTAGTAAATGCATTTTGCTACTTCCTCATCGTGACACAAGACGCGCGCTTAGACAAGGGACATCTTGGTTGTGATGTGTGATAGGATTTAACGGAGCCTGTATTTTCATTTTCATGAGATGCACTGTGAATATGAAAACTACATTATACGGACGTCAGTAATCACGTATGCCAAATTAAATGTCAACAACGAACACTTCGAAACAGGACTGATAAACATAATAGGGGACCAAAATGTTGTAATAAAAAACCATTTTCCATTGCATACATACATACTTATTACAGTATTTTCTCTTAACTGCGAATTAGTATACGTGAAAAAATGTTCGTTTAAGCATTAAGCATACTTGCGCGAAAACGAATTGAAAGTATTGGGGGCTTGAGATTTATTTATTGTAGTGGTGTTTTGGTGGGGACACGACTATTGGCCGTGGTTGCCGTACCGTGCATTCGACCGTTGCATCCTTTAAAGTCTACCCCTCTGGTGCGAGATACCTGGCAGGAAAAACCTTGCTAGCCGAAGGTAGGCTGGCGCCGTATCCTACCATCTAACGGAGCAAGATCACCGCCCCCTCCCGAGGAAAGAACGTGCACTACTCTTACGGGAATAATGACCTTAGCCGTGATCTTGGCTGTCCGGCGTGAAGACCACGACAAGATGGTCGAAACGTCGGCAACACAGCCTTCGACGCGGCGTCACCCGGACAGCCAAGATCACGCACATGACACTGGCCGCGGAAGCCTACGACTTCATTTAATGACCTTAGCCGTTGACGCGCCCGGATCATCACTCGATCAATTTAATCAATGTGATGGACTACCACAAATTTCTCTTTCCATTATCTCGCGCCTCCAGCACAGACCTGCTGGTAGTCGTCACTAAGGCAGAAGCCGGACTCGTGACTGAAGATAACTGCTGCCAGTCTGTCCGTGCTTCCCGACACCAGACGAGCGTGTGAGGTCGCTGCTGGTGTGGCAGGGCTCGTAACGGTCGCTGTGCGGGGACCCAGCGGCGTGTAACTGCCTGCTAATGGTATTGGCACTTCAAAACGTGGCGTACCCGGCTGCTCAACCTGCTATCGTTGCCGTTGGATCTGTTCGCGCGTGACGGGCAATCTGTTCTTCTCTTCTCGTGAGGGGCGGATCCATCAAGTACGAGTAACCCGGGAAGGACGGAGAACAAATGCAGTTCGTCCACAACGTCCCACCCCCTCCAATGAAAAATAAATCGTTGGCTTAGCTGATGGTGTGCAATATTATCGCCTGGATTACAACAGATCGTTTGAGTTTGCTGTTTTATTGAATTAGACAGCTCTGTTAGTTTTTATCCCCATCATCGTCGTCTTTATAATATTTCACGGTTTAGGCCATTATGTTATTTCATTTTTCCTGTCAGCTTTTTAGCAGTTAAATTTAAGTTAAATTTAATTTGAGGACCCAAAAATGTTATCTTAACATGAAACAATTACACATTCTTAATAGTCAATGAAGTTTACTTGAAATGAAAAACTGCTTTGAAATCATTTTCCCTTCATTTACTACTAATGTTTACTTTCTTGCGCTTAAGAAGTAACTCTAAATAAAAGAAAGTTGTGTAATGTTGCTCGAAAAAAGGGCGAATTTTCGGCAGAAAAACTGTTCTTACTCGGCCTAGTAGCGAAAAACTGGATAAATCCAGTTGCTAAATTAAAAAAAAATCTCTAAAACTTGTTGTAGCCACTATTCCTGTTTTGTGGGTCCTTGATACAGAAAAATAGAATTATGGGAGAACGTCTGTCCGTCTGTCTATCTGTGAACAACGCTAGCGTATAAACCGTTCTGCCAAATTTCTCAAAAATTGATATTCCCCGATCAATCTAGCTGATCTCTTGACCCCTTGAATTTGAAACATATATTTTAATTCTGGGGAGTACTTTACATGAAGCCCCTGGAATATTTCCAAATTTAAAAAAATTGCACCATTGAGTTTGATTAAATTTTATTGTTGGATAGTCTGAAGAACGTTATAGATAATGGTGCAAGTAGTTGAAAACTCTGATTTTTCAAAAACTGATAATATTCAAATATTTTTCGGCGTCTTCCTTCAACAAAAGTATTAAATGTAGGATTTTTTCCCTTAATGAAACCTGTTTCTTAAAAATAATTGAAATAAGGTCATGTAAATTTTTCGAAAATTTGAGCATTTTCCCGTCATGTTTAGTGGAATATAGGCAATTTTTAATTTTTGTTAAAACAATTTTTTCTCAAAAACGTCTTTATTATTTTTGATGAAATTTTGTTGGTGCATAGCCTGAAGGACATTTAAGAATATGTTGCAGGTCTCTTGTTGGTTATAAACCCTAAATTACAACATACGAAAAATCTTTGTTCGACGTTTTCCTACAACTACAATTCTGAAGATATATTCTGAAGATAATAAGAAGATTTTTTTTATTAATGAAATATGTTAATCAAAAACAGATTTTCAAATAAGGTCATATTTAATTTTTCGAAACTACGAGTATTTTTGGAATAATTGGGTCAGAGTTAGTCGTCCCCTTTGAAAATGCTGCGCTCCTTGATCAGAATTTTAGGATCATTAATTTTTTGATCATAGTTTTGATGCAGTTGGATGCTACGTGTGTTAGAATGTGTATAGTATTTCATATTTCTTTGTTCGTTTCTTTCATTGTTTTTGTTATACGTTTACAAATTGATCTTTTGGAAATTATTTAAAACCTATTTGAAATAAATATGAAATTGATTATTAGCCATCAGTTGCCCTCTTCCAATTTACGCAGTTAGAGGCTACAGAAGTTAGAATTTGTATATTATTTCATGTATCATTTTATTATTATATTTACGTTATTTCATTTTCAATTGCGTACTTTAATAACTTGTGTTAAATGTGAAAAGGTGAGTGGTCATTGTTGTTTGTTGTTACCCATTGTAACGCCGCACCATACAGAGAACACGATAATGCCGGCTGCTTTTAGTTCGCGGAAATAAGAACGAATAGTTTTGTATGTTTGTAGAATATTACAATATCTCGTCTCCTATATTATTTCAGCACTATACATACCTTTTGTGACTCTCACACGCAACCGATCATTATAAATGAGATCTCTAATAAAAGAGAATTTCGGAGAGACGTGAAGAATTGTACTTTCACGTAAAAAATGTGAAGGATTTAAAAACAAAAACAATGCATTTAAAAGTTCATATAAAATGCAACCCGCATCACTCACTCAACCATCGTCAAAGAATTCCTAAACGAAGCGCTCTAGGGCCTTAAAACTAAACTTTTTAGGCCAAAAGCCGCAAAGAAACGTTTCTCATAATCTACATGATGAAATATTCTTGGACATTCTGTTGAATTTTTTCTGGTTCGGTACTTAACAATACCACCAATGCCACCTACAATAAATACAGGCCTTTTAAAATTTGCAACCCTTTGTGACATCACGTTTCGAAGTTTATTTATAACTCAAAGGTGAAAATATTAGTTTTACTATTTTTGGGCTAAGAATTACTTTTCTCGAGGTACGCAAGAACACAGAAAAAAATCCAATAATTTTAGTATCCAAATGCGGTAATTTTTCAATTTTGCACCCCACCCCAGCCAGCCCTGCCCCTCCAAAATCTCTGTTCCTCCTAATAAATTCTGAGAAATTAAATAATATTACAAAGAGTAGGGTTGTACTTGCCCGATCCTGTATTTTTGCATGGAAAACTTTATCTGGCTTTCTCAATAGTAAAAACGTTTTCTAATATATTTGTGATAATCAAGGAAAGCCTAAAGCTAACTGTCAAGGAAGACACAGGATGCACAGGAATATTTCCAGATATTTTCAAAATAGCAAAAATTAAGCCACGTTTTAAAAAAGGGAGTAAAAATGAAATTCAAAATTACCGACCTATTTCTCTTTTGTCAGGTTTCTCCAAAATATTAGAGAGGTTTTTCTATACGCGAATGGAAACTTTTCTCAGGAAAAACGAAGCGTTTTTAGACTCACAACACGGGTTTAAAAAAATAAAAATCTACGGAAACATTTTTTCTTAAAGGTGTTGCTTCATCAATGGACCAAAATGAAGCACCCATTGGAATATTTTTAGATCTTTCGAAAGCTTTTGATGTTATTGACCATAACAACTTGCTATAAAAATTACCTTCTCATGGAATTCCTGGTATCGCCCTGAATTAGATAAACTCTTACCTTAAACATCGATCTCAAACAGTAGAAATACCATACTGGCACGAAAGGACATTATTTACTTAACTTTCCAATTCTGCACCAATTGAATATGGGGTCCCGCAAGGCTCGATATTAGGTCCTATCCTCTTTCTATTATACGTGAACGATATGCCCTCGTCTATTAAAAACAGAAGAACGGTTCTGTTTGCCGATGACACGAATGTTCTTTGCGAAAGGGAAACAATAAATAGTACGATATTAGATGTTTCAAATTGTTTTTTTAAAAAATAATAGTTAACAAATGAAAACAGTTTCAATGCATGTTTGCATTTCAAATCAGAAATCGCATGCTTTACTGAAAATAAATAATATGCAATTAGCTGATGTTCAGGTAACAAAATTTCTAAGCTTCTCAATTCAGTGAAACCTCAAATGGAAATATTACAAAATATTACAAAGAACAAAATTAAACACTAAATTAAGTTCATTATGTTACGTATTGAGAATTTTTTCAAATTGTCAGCCTTCATGCAGCTCGTTGCAAATGTACATTCCCGCTTGAGATATGGTATAAAATTCTGGGGAAACTCATCATATAGTTCTCAGACCTTTAGATTCCAAAAGAAAATTATTTGAATAATGAAAAAATACCATTCGCCTTACCCTTGCAAGCCTCTCTTCATTGAGCTTGGAATGTTACCACTGCCTTGCCTATATATTTACGAATCTGTAATATTTGTCAAAAGTGACTTACGTAACGGTGGGAACATATTTTCATACAATACTGATATTTATAATTACAACACACGTCGTAAAAATCACGTTCATGAAGTGTCAGTATCAACTGCTCACTATCAGAAATCTACATACAATACATGTACGTTACTTTGCAACGCATTGCCAGATGACATTAAACAATTGAAGTCGGCTCACAAATTTAACTTAAAAGAAAACTCTTTTCTGCTGCATAACTGTTTCTATACAATTAGAGACTATACTGATTATCAAAAAGAAAAATAATATTTATTTTAACAAAACAGTGATATATAATGAATTAGTTTACATTTGTATTGTATAATTTTTTTCAAAACACATTATATTTGTAACAAAGAATGTACTTCAGCTTGCGAGTCATGTCGATCAGGTTTTTGTCCAGTTTCCCTAATCCATTGAGCAAATGCAAAGATGACCCCTTGTTTTGCTTCTGGACGTAAATGTAGCTTCACTATGCGCACGTTTTGTTGAACTCTCTTTTTGCTTATAATGGTATGAGGCGAGTTGCTATTTTGTTAGCAATGCAGAAATATCATACTTGCAATTCGTGTACCGTGTGTCTATTTTTTCAAATATTGGTAATCTTGCAATTTTTAAAATTTATTTTTATTTATTTATTTTAAAATTTTTCATTTCTTAACTATTTATAGGTAAAATGACGGGAAGGGTTTCTGGAACACAAGAAAACGTGCGCAGACAACCTTCTCCCTTATACGTCACATACAGTTTTTACTGTTTTTTTACTAAATAAATTTAAATCTAAATCTAATATTGAATAATTTCTTCAAAATTTGTTTTCAAGAAAGTGTGAAATGTTCGAAGAACATATCTCCGTAATACTGAATAAACCGTTATTGAAATTTTTTTTCCAACATTAATTGCATTGTTTTTATTTTTGTTTGATTTTGTGAGAGTAGAAAGTTATATATAAACATTTTTTAACAAATAAACACGTTTCATTAACAATTTTCCTTCTTAATGGACAGGTCAGGCAAATTAATAGGGAAAGAGTGGGTATTAACATGCGAGAGTTCTCGCACGGGTAAGCTAGTACTGTTTAATAATTACTATTATATATTTTTCGATCAATTTGCGTTCCGACATTATCAGTATCGTATTACTTATTAATTTTTAAATATTTTACTACCTTAAATTCTGCATTCTAAATTATTTTTCGCACCAAATGCTCTGTGATTTCAAATAAGTTTTACAAAAAATAATTCGGAGAGAAATTGTAGTGTAAATAGTATTCCATTAATAGTGCAGTGTAATAGTAAATAGTAAATCATAACCATTACTAATGGCGAGAAAGTGCGTGCTGTTTTAGCACCACTAGTTCGCTACGAGACCATTTCTATACATCTGATATTGTACTATTTGCTGTTTCTTTATTGTCACGAATTTGCGTATCATCCGCAAGAGAACTATGAGAGAGAACTGTTTCTTTTTTTATTTAGAACGATGCGAAATTATGTTTCAGGTGGCAGTGATCTGGCAACCATGGAGCTGGAAAATCTTTATAAAAGATACTGCGTGCGGCTGAAGCATGCCCTGTTTGTATCCTGCTTGACTATTTCCTCCGTCAGTTGTGCATGTATGCTTGTCATCACACTTTGTCTTCAAAACCATGTGAGTACACAGTTCTCAAAATTTGGTCTTACTAAATATTATATATGATCATATTGAGTTGCAAATCTTTAAACGATAAATTTGTGGACACTCTACATTTTCTAAAAGTTTGTAATTTTATTCTCACTCTCTATAGAGCATAACTTCTCGATAGTACAAATATAGTTTATTGCAATTGATGCAAATGATGAAAATGCACATTTATATTTCGAGATAAACGCGTATTGAGTTAAATTCACACTGACACAGCGGTCTGCTCTGCCAGAATACAGCTATGAGGTAATGGATCCATGAGAAGGAAAGAAATGTCTCCCAAAGATGATGCAATTTTACAGAATACAGAAAATTACTAATTAAGCAAATGCTTTACATCATTCATTAGTTTATAATCCCTTTACTAGTCCATGTTATTACAAGTTTGTACAATGTTTTTATCCAATTCTCTAATAATCAAAGTTAATAAAATGAAAGTAATTACATTTGTACAGACCCAGTTCCTTCAAAACCAAGAAGAATTTTTGAATGAAACACTTGAGAAATTTTGGAATATTACAGGGAGCTACTTTAAGCTTTTTGTAAGGAACACCAATTTGATAGTTTTTGGTTTGCATTTTGGTGAGATAAATTAAATAGACAATATTTGTTTATTTTAAAAAAATAGTTCTGTATTAATAAATGATAAATGTATTTCTCATTTTTTTATATTTATTTTTTGTCAATTTTAAGTTTATACATGGTCCTAAAATGTTCAGAATACTTGTTATCAACTGCTAGGACATGAAAAGGGCAAATCGATCCCTTTTGTTGGGAATATTATATTTAGTGGTGTTTGGCAGGTGCACGTTTTGATATATTCAAAGAGATTTCGTCAACCAGCCAAGCAACTGAGGAATCGAGTCCACCAACCTAAACCAATCTCACATGTGTAACTTCGTAATATAAAATTTCCCACTAGATATTGATTGGCAAAAAGTGGTCATCTTCGACCCCTCCCAAGAGGGCAGAGAAGTTTGTAACATTTGCTTGGAGCGTAGAGCGAGCGCGTGCTGCCGGTGGCGGCGCTGGGGGCGATGGCGGCGGTGACGGCGGCGCTGGGCGGCGCGTCGGCGGCGGCGGGGTGGAGCGCATGCACGCAGCGCTGGGCGGGCGCGGCGCTGGCGGCGGCGCTGGGCGCGGCGGCGGCGCTGGGCGCGGGCGTGCTGGCGCTGGGGTGGGCGGCGGCGCCGCTGCCGCTGTTCGCGCTGCTGCTGGCCCTGCACACCATGCTGCCCGTGCCGCGCGCGCTGGCGCTGGCCGTGGGGCTGGCGCTCACGCTGCTGCACCTGGCGCTGGCCGGCGTGCTGCGCTCCTTCGCCGACCTCGCGCTCTTCGCGCGCCAGGTGCGCCCCGCTGCTCAACGAGCGCGACAGACACACCATTCATTCAAATTTATGCAACCGTCTTTACCTCCGGGTACTTTAAAGAAAAATAGATTTATTAATGTAGCCTCAGTACTTTTAGTAATACAATTTCATTTCGAGTTGTAAATGATTCTGCTGACCCAACGCAAATTTATCTACCACATCATAGGAAATTCAATGATTAAAATAGATTGCAAAATTAGTTTCCATTCTTATAAAACATAATTCGGTTATTTGAATTCTATTATTCTAAGTTCCGGACAGCGATCATTTTTTCTTAACATTATTAGTTGAAGAACACTCTATGGACGTCACAAAGTTCACGGAGAACGAACTTTTATGCACAGAAAGTTGAATATATAATTTAAGAACAGTTTCACATCATTAACTCAAAACTGGGAAAATGTGACATCTCACCTTTTTGTTTGCCTCGATTCATTTGACAAAAACGGAATGCTCAAAATTAGCCCATAGTTTGGAATACGTTGCCCTCAGCCCCATATGGTTACCCAAAAAGTGACATTTTCTTAAAATTTAAATTCTAATAACTTGAACCATATTTACCTTTGGGTTCTTTAAAGAATATATATATATATATATATATATATATATATATATATATATATATATATTGAGAGAGAGATTTAATACATTTTTAAGGCTTTTAGCGACATCTACAAAATAACATGATTACTTCTGTACATGGAATATTATGACACTTAGAATGGGAACATTCATATCACATTATTGACCAGTTTTATACATTTTTCTTATATATCACTATATAAGTCGATGCCCTTCAAAAAATTGAAAACCGACTACATTGTTGTTTGTCCTGTAGTGCTCTTGGCATGACGTTATTGCCACCATGTCTCGTCCGGTCGTCGACAAACCTGGGGTACAAAAATAGATGGTTAATATACATAGTAACATTACACATAACCGTTTTCAAAGTTGGAGTGCAGATGCGTAGATTGTCTGCAGAGGCTCAAGACCAGTAGATCATTATTCACAAATTCACCAACAATTTTCCGTCTACCATCTGTTATGTGTGATCCCCAAATCAAATGGTAATAATTAAAATCACTGGCTCACTATCAGTACCACGACGGATATGTATGCGTATAAATTGTCTAAGTGGCAAGATCCTAGTTGAAACGCATTAGAAATGTATGTATTACACAGATGAAAGCTACTACCACCAATATGCAGCTGCATCACACGTACTTGTAGGTCACTTGTCAAGGCGCATTCACTATGCTTGGTCGACGTATGTACGTAGATCGCAACACCGCCTCTGGCATTTGCACATAAAAACATTGATCACATTTTATATTAAAATGGTACTTATTTTTAAAATTGATTTCCTGGATGCACAGTACGGCATAGTTGTCGTCTTTTAGAATATAAACGTTAATAATAATAAATGTTAAATGTTAACAAACGTAAGGTAAGAAAAGTTAACACTTCCCTATAGCACGTCACGCACAGTTTTAAACTATTTTTGACGTTGAATTAATAAATATTCACGAAACATCAAGTTAAAAAGTCACAAAAAAAGATTTTCCAGACTTCTTTGATGACCAACCAAATAACTTGCATGCAAGACTTGGTGAGTAATTTCACCAAGGATATAGGTGCTGAATGTTAACGATCTTTCTGGTCAAGTAACCCCAATAATGAAAGTATTCTCGAATACGTCTGTTGATACGAATTCAGTGCATAACTATATTAAGTTAGAGCTGTAAGAACGTAACCAGACAAATTTTACGCCATATTTATTTTGACTATTCTTTTTCAATTATTATATTTGGGAAGCAAATGGTTCCCATTGCAATTTTACACCGCAAAGTACATATTCAATCATTACTTCAAAAACAATCATAAAGTGTTCCTTCATTGTTACACTTCGTTTTGTCTCAGTTACAATGGTCACCTTCTCGCTACGACGTACAATATGTCCACATGTTTTAGCAATGTCCGCATTCAATGCGCTACAACTTCTTTAACCTATCATGTACTATCCCTGTCCTCTAGAGGTTTCGGTCATAATGCTGACTCGCCTCTCTTTGCGCACGCTGAAACTATTTAAGCTTGCTCCTCTCAACCACTGAAAGTCTGGCTATTGCTGCGAGCGGGAAAACCCTCCATCACTTTTCTCAGCACTTGATGTGTGTTCTAAAAAAAGGATAAACGTTGGTAGGAACATAAACACGAGGTGGGACTCAACGTTTTGGTTAGTCAGAAAGCACTACGCAGGTGGTGGATCTTCCCTTTGCTTGGGCACTCTCACTCACACAGATTATAATAAATAAATGCTCAATCTTATTAATAATATTTCAAAAATTACGTTAGCGTTACTCTTCTGTCGTGTATTTTCATCTTGAAAATATTTATTTGTGCAAAGAAAGTTCATGATAAAAAATACATTTGAAATACCGTACAGTAACCTGGGTCGACTATCTTCGTGCATGAAAATGTAATACGTGAGAAAGTGTCGGCAAAAAAATGACCTCGGGCATAATGTATTTTATGTCTCTTCACAAAATTAAGTTTATTCATCGTCAATATCATTAATAAAGTCGTAATGGCTCGTGCCAGAAAAGCAGTTTTATAGTTCACAGCTATTTACCACTGTATGTGACTTAAATCCTCAAAAACGAACACAAAAATCAGACATTTTTTCTACAATTCTTCATGAATGTTGTAGAAGGACATGACTAAAAATAATGCAAGATGATATATCTTGTGAAGAGAAAATTAATGAGTTATGATCACCAATGTAAATATAATGAAACCCGCCAAAAAAGGCGTTTTAGATGCTTACCTCCCTTCCCCAAAACAGATTTTTCATGAATTCTCATAGAATGTTGTGGAAGGACTCGTCAAAATGATGTTTCCCAGTGGACAGAAACGCGTATAATTACATCTTGCTTGAACCGAATGGTACGTGCGAGGAGGTCTAACCAAAAGTAACGGAGGAACAGAATCAGAACACACGCAGGTTACTCTATTACTATATGCAGGATATTAGACGAGATATCAACATCCGTATAATTAATAAACTCTTTAATAAGATACAAATTTTAAATTAGATGTCACTAATGTAGTTATTTTTTCCCTCAATTTTTCAGTCAATTTCACAGGAAGTACATCCAAATTTTTTATATTAATTTTATTCTGTCAAATCCTATAACGTTTTGGAGACTGTATTGTCTCCCTCATCAGATACAACAGTTATTATGTACTTGAAAAAAATGGAATATATACAAAACATATACAAAATATTTACAAAATATACCAAAGCATTTCCGATTAAGGTAAGTGTTTAATGAGTGCAGTCCAGCCACATTTCCGTTTCAAAAGTAGTACCTGATGAGGGAGATATAACTGTCTCAGAAACGTCGGATTTCACAGAATAAAATTATGAAACGAAACAATTTTGAATGTAGTTATTGTATGTATGAATGTATGTAAAGTTCCCACCACAAGAATTGGCGGGTGAAATCGGTGCCGAAGAGGGGCGCGTTGACTAATCGCTGTAGTCAGAACCTTAGAGCCTATGTCATTGAGCGCAAACTATCATGGGGAATCGCGGGAAAGAGGGCGGGGTCCTCGATTGTTCACCTATAAGGCGGAAATATCGTCATCTTTTCCTACCGAAGGAGAGATTTTGCCTACGCCTTCCATAAACCTAACAAGGAGTGACAACTTTTGCAAAAACTTCGGGATTTGCAGAACCTCATGGACCTGAGAGAATATAGGACAAGAGAGAATTATATCACAGTATCTACGGAGAAAGCAGTTTTAGTTTGAGATTCAGCCTCCACACCAAACAAGGAGAGGTTGACCCTCAAAACTACAGCAATATCTAAAACGCGTCTCTGGGGACGTTTGTTCACTAGCTGTTTGCAGAACAATGACTTCAACTTTTCGTACCGGACCCAGGGGTCACTATGCAACCCACATTCACACGTGCGGCGACCACTTACAGTAAAAGACGTGCGCTCGTGCAACCATCCCCTGAGGAAAAGATCCGATATACAATTTTCGTGCCTGCGATTTCCCTTGGGCTCGTGCACACATTCAAATAAATATTCGTATTTCTTGAATTCAGAAAGGCGGAAATTGTTCACATCCTGCAACATATTAGCGATGTCAGTGCCACTCTTTTTTCATTGCGACAATGCTTCATTACTCTTTTGCCCCCAGAAATGTTCCGCTTTAGAACTTGAGAAATTTGTGAACTAGATTGTGCATTGTGGACAAATGGCATGAGACAATATCACATAATGATGACGCAATATTTGTTTCCTCTCTAGTACCTGTACAATCTGAATGTGTCCATCACTCGCTTTTGGGCCTCCTGCGGTCCACCACTGCGGCAAAAGAGATGTCATTCGACGCGTCTGTCTACAGTTGTTTGAAGCGACATATGCAAAAACAAGGGCGCATGTCGCTCCAAACAAAATTGTTACTGTCCTCCGACGTATGGATAATCGATGAATGCAAAAATGGGAATGTTGGAGTCAATTTGTTATACAAGTACGTGTGCGTCAAAGGTGAGGCATTGGTACGCGCCTCTTCACTTCAAGCTTAAAAAGCTTAGAAATTATGAACGATTCAAAATATGACTTACTTGATGATGATCATTTCCTGGTTAAGATGTTGAAAGCAATTGAGGCGCTCAGAATAGTAACGGCAGATCCCAACCGAAATTCGTTTCGAGAAAAATGACTTTCTGTTTTCGTTCACGTTCACTTTCACTCTGAACACATTTTTGATAATGAAATTTGAAAATTTTGTCATATTCCAATTCATTTGATTTTTCAGCATATGTTAGGTAAATGGCAAGAGTTTGCCGTCCTACTTCTAACTGAAAATGCGAGATCGGTTGGGATCTGCCGGTCTTATACCAAGAGTCTCAATTACTCCAAAGGGGACATTCAGCGGTGACTTTCCAGTGCTCAACAAGAGCAACATTTGGCCTGTGTCCCGTGTCTTTCTTGCTTGGCGCACGTTGACTGCGTCGGTGTGTGCATGGCCGCTGTGGCAGTGGACGGCCGAGGCGGTGTTCCTGGCGTGCGCGAGCGGCACGGGTCTCTACTACCGCCACATGACGGAGGCGGCGCACCAGCGCACCTTCGTGGGCACGCGCCAGTGCATCGAGTCGCGCGTCAAGCTGGAGTGCGAGAAGGAGCAGCAGGAGCAGCTGCTGCTCAGCGTCATCCCGGCCTACATCGCGGCCGAGGTGAGACCTCCAATGCATTCAGTGGTTTGGGCGTTCCCTTCCCGCATGGCACGGGCAGCGTGATAGCCCACCGACTAAGCACCTCTGCCGAAGGACACCCATTCCAATCCCGAATTTGGGATGAATGATAACCTCAGTGTGTGTGTGTGTGTGTGTGTACGTTTGCGGGCGCGTGTATGCGACGTATGTGCACGCGCTTGCGCATGTGTGCTACGGCGTGTGTGCATGCGTATATGCGTACATGTGTGAGTGTATGTATGCCTACACGTACATGTGTGCGTGTATGAATGCTTGTGCGTACGTATGTGGACATGTATGTGCTGCATTCTATTGCCCCTCTCATGTGCAAGAGTAGTCAGTGATACACAGTACTGTATAGATTCAGGATTGCGCAAATCCATATAAAAATACTTTTAATGTGTACCATCAAGTCAGTGAAATTTCATGCTTATCCATAGTAACAAGCAATTCCATGTTGCTAATATACATTTGACATTCTTTGAATATTAAGATTTCTGGTGATATTTTATTTGATCACTTTAAGCGTTTTACTACCATGCATTATAATACAATAATACCATAATATATTATAAATAGCAAATTCGTTTGCACATATATGTGCATACATTCTGTATATACATAGAAAAAATTCTAATGTTTTGGCTTTTTCTATTAATTCGCAATTATTTTGGTATCAAGAGATTTCATACATTTTTAAAATCAGAATTATTTCAATATTTAATATTTGATAGATAGTACCTATTTCATTTTCGTCTCTCTTTGCTTCAGCCTAATGCCATGTGACTAAGACTCATGTCTTGCCTCAAACATTCTAGATTGTAAATTTGAAAAACCCCAATTGACATTTATAATAAAGTGACGAGACGTCTCCACACGGCATCTGAATCACAGCCTGCATGTTGTTGACACAGACGTGATAAGATTGTCTTAACACCTGTCAAAATCTTTCTATTTTGTCTCGCATTGGTACGTTAAAAAATATTATATCTTGTTGTAGATAGGGCTTTATTTCTATGGGGCCACAGTATCTCATTGATATTTTATTTCTCTCCACAATTCTGCACAGGTATACTTTTATATGCATTTGTATTGAAATAGTAAATCCGTTGAAATTGTAAAGATCAATACTCAGACATCGTTCACAGAATGTGTATAAATTGTAATTCGGGATATCTACATATTGCATTAGATACCGGAATAATTTCATAACGTTTCAATCGTGATGTCTCAAAATCTCACTAACAATGATGCTGTATCAAACTATGGCAGCAATATATTTCTGTCGTTTAGAAAGTGGGCACAATATTATTGTCAGAGTAAATGAGTATTGATTCCGGGCGCGTCAATTACTTAGGTAAATAGTTCCGTAAGTATAGTACATGTTACATTCCGGTAGGTAGCAGGGTTCCCGCATTAATGTATGGTCTGGCACCGACCTACACCGGTGCTTGAAATTTTCCTTGAAAAGGTAGAGACAATGATGAGGAAGGAAATATTACTATATTACGTATTATTATATACTATATTACATGCCCCATTTGTTAAGGTAACTCTCCGGCATTCGATTATTATTGATCGGAGAAACCACAAGAAACTCCCTCTTCGAGCTGCCACTCGCTAGAGTTGTTCTACAGCCGTGGTTGAATTTCACTTCATTAGGTAGTGCCGAAAATGTGTCACCGTCGCACGCGAACCCCAAGACCTCTGGTCAACAATTTCGCAGAGGCTACAGTGTTACCGCTAATCTGGCGCAGCCGGTCACACATGTATGAGAGGTATTGCATGAAACAAATGCCATGGAACAACAAAACTCGAAAGAGATATCCCTTATTGTCATTTTAGAAGACTGTTCATACAACGCACCTGGAAGCAGTACTGCAAAGCTATTCCGTTGACTAATAGCTTTGCACGGAACTGAGGAAGAGGCAGGTTAATTGGTGAGCGGAGCGACCGGTGGGTTGGGCCTTGGTGCCCCGGCTCTCACGAGTTCACTTCCAATAAAAAGGCCCCCCGCCGCGCCTGCTTGTGTTGTGGAATGTGGAAGGCGCCGCGCCGCGCCGCGTGAGAGACGGCGGGGGCTGAGCCCCGCGGGGCGCTCGACACCGACGCTTTCGACCCGTGCTGCGGCGCCAACGCGGGAGATTAGGGAGATGGAGCCGGAAGAGTTCGCACATTAAAGAAGCGATATCCATCAGTTCGGCACGCTTGTGCCCTATCGAACCGACACCCTGCCCGATCGCATTTGCCGTTTGGTGGGAAAGACACACGCTAATAATTAAGTATCTTGTTTTTCCTGCGATGAAGGATTTAGATGTGAATTGAAACATAAAAAGATTTACCTACATCTGAAAATCTGGAAGTGCACTACCCATAGAAATTCATGGTGCAGAAAAAATGTAAATACCAGTTCTGTATACCACTCGCCTTCTGTAAAATATAGCTTCATTATCTGCGTACGTTTTCTCGAGTTCCGTAGTGTTAGTGAGGATCTGTTTATTTTGTCAGCGGCACCAGAAAATAATGATTCTTCATACTCTCGCGGTATTGTTTCAATTCTTTGAAGGGGGACATTATGTGTACATAGGGTTATGATAAAAACCAAAATCTTATTTGTTAATGCAACGGGAGCGAATATTTCTTGTAATCAAATATTAGTTATATTATTAGAATAAGAGGTGGGGGCAAGAGAACACGTCGCAATGTACGCACTCTGTTGAATTTGCCGCTAATTGTTTCGTCCGCTTCTGTATTACATTGATATACAGTTCGGGGCAGTACCCTCCATGTAAGAAGGAATCGTTGCCGATCCTCAATTTGTGCCCTTGAAAATATAATGAAGAGTGTGTTTTTAGCGTTTGTAATGTAATTTTATAATTAGGTCATGAGTTTTTACTACGGAAATATTACATAATATGTGATAGTGTTTGATGTCAAGTATGTGTTTAATTTTAATACTTACGATGGTATACTTTCACGTTCAAATTATGTCTTTTGAGAGCGGGAATGAAAGCGATTAGTTTGTTAATGTATTGAGACGAAAGTAAATGCACGTGGTGAAGTAAGAGTTCCATGAGAGAGACAAACTCACTGTGTATTTTTTAATAAACTTATGAGTTACTCATTATTGCATTAAATTTGTAAAAAAAATATTGTGATACTTTCCATCCTTTCCTTTTTTATAACTTATTTGCTCAATGTGTTGCTACATTGATCATTGCAATAGAATGCTTTGCTAGATTAGTTATTGTTTTAGAGTAATCTAGGTTACATTCACAGTATTTGGATATATATATATTTCTTTTGTAATTCAAACATTTAAAGTGTTTTTCATTTTATTTGGGGGTAAAAGTTTGCAGACGTGAAGTTTATTCCCGCTGACGAGGCAAGAGTATGGAAATGTATTCAACAAAATCCAAGTTTGTAATTTGAAACACCTAAATCAGATATCACTGAGCGAAGTGGCTTAGTGCGTAACGCGCTGTCGTCTCAGTCGAGAGGTTCATATTCTATACCCGGGCCGGCCGTCCTGACTGGGATTTTTCATGGTCGCTTCCCTCGGTCATAAGGCGAATGCTGGGATGGTTCAAAATTGCCACGATCGCCATCCCACCTGCCACCTCCCACTAACATCCTAGTCCTTTCACCCCTCATCATCACTCTATCACTTCATTGAGCATTCCCTGAGTTGATTCAGATGTCTAAATAGACTTGCTATGCAACTAAGCAAAATTGTAAGACCCAAGTCAAACTGATTTACTAGTTTTCAATCAGGTAACAAAAGTGCGTAATTTTTGCCTCCAACTACCCTACAACCTTTTTCATGTTAAACTAGCTGAAGGATCCTGCGTTGCCGAGTATTTAAAATCATAACCTTTAATCCTAACTCACCCCTCTCCACCCTATCACGTTTGTTACAATAATCTTAGCTCCCACCACCCTACCAAATACCATATAGACATTTGTATACAGATACATTGTTGTATACTCCCGGCAAAGATTCAGTAACAATTGTGATTTTCAATTTTTTTCTGAATTTAACAGCGTTATTGGAATGAATCGAAATAATTTATTGGGAAATTTTATGTAGTATCAGAAACATCTAATTCACTTTGGTAAATTTACTTGCTGTTTTCATGATATTTGCAAAAACAAGGAAAGAACACTCACAAAAATATTGCTCGAAGTCTAAGGGGTAGGAGAGAGGGATAGGATGAATTTTAGGAAATTTCATTCAGTAACTTGCATCTTGTTTTGTATGATCACGTATAATTAATTTCAATAGATGTGAATAAACCTGTATTTTTGTATAAAAAACAAACAAACAACCTTAAGAAAATACTATTTAAAAAAGTATCCTAAGTTATGTCTAACCAAACACATTATCTGTCAGTGAAACTTGCATTGAAATCGGTTCAGTCGTTCCAAAGATTACCCAGACGGATAGACAAAAATCGTAGAAACAATTGAATTGGATGTTAATTTTGAAACCACGGATAGACACTCCAATTTATTTATCTAGATACAAATAGCTATGTAAATAAATAAACTCAAACTCATCGGATCCAGCGTTTTAGGTAGGCATAGTGTACATGTTTTGAGATGTAATTCTTGTAACTGCCCATAGTTCGTAGTTCTAGTGTTTCGAGAAGCCCAGAATTATTTCAAAAATAGTTTTTTTAAGATAATACATAATGTGGTAAACTCAGTTGTGTTCAATACTTTCTGTAGTCACCAAATTCTCACCAAACCATTCCCAAAACCTCACCAAATTCATTATGGTAAAAAGATGGAATACGTTAGCAAGTTCAGATGGCGTACTTTTAATTAAGCTCGCAGACGACAGAAGTTTCACTTTACGCAGTCCCCGTTTAATTAAGGAGCAGCCGAACAGAGCAGATGCTGATACACTTTTATATTTACGTATTGGGCGCTTAAAATGTTCTGTATTTACACTCGAAATTGAGATTTTTTGTAACGCT